TGTGCTCTTCCGATCTATTGATTAACTTTAATCGTTAATAACTCTGTAAATAATGGTCTGAGCCAAAATTGAAAGAGGAACTTTTAGTTCAAAATTTCATTCTCTTTCACGCCTTGAAATATTAATTAAGCGTTACGGGACACCTTGTATATATATACATGTGTATATACATATACACGGTCTGTCTAAAAAATTTCCGAATTTTCTTCGTACGATGGTATTAATGGCATCATCTATATAAATAAGGTTACATTATCTTTATTGAAGTTTTGTTTACAAATTTTGTAAGTTGAATTAAGATCTCTCTAACGACTGTTTTACTACAATTATATATATAATAAAACCGATAATACCTTTGTGACACACGTCAAAAAATCACGATGAAGCAAAAAACAAATATTACATTCTGTATGAAATGAAGCGTGCTGGCAAGAATTAATCGGGTTTGTCCTCAATACCGAGCGCAAGGCAGCTAGCCGATGTGACCTGCAGCTTCTGTATGACAATGCTCCGGCTGATCACAAGTACATCACCGTACGAGAATTTCTCGCTTCCAAATTAGTCGTAGTCCCTAATCATCCCCCATATTCAGCAGATTTGGCACCATGTGACTATTTTTTATTCCCAAAGCTAAAATGAATTAAGCTAAAAGGAAAGCAGTTCGACACTATTTTGGACATTCAAAAGGTTTCGAACGAGGCCATTTCGACTATTTCAAAAAAAGACTTTTAGCGGAATTTTTTAAATCTATACGACCGTTGTAAACAATGTATTTCTTCGGAAGGGATGTATTTCGAATGATTATAAGTAAACATTTATAATTATTATCTTTTAGAGTGAATTTAATGAAAGTTCGGAAACTTTTGGGACAGACCGTGTGTGTGTGTGTGTGTGTGTGTGTGTGTTATAAATCATTTGGAATATGAATCTTAATTTATACTAAAATTCATATTAATAACAATAAGTAATTTAGTTAATGAAGGTGAATATAAATAAAAAGATTCGTATTCAAAACGCACTAACAACGATATTAGAGTTCTAATACGCTAGTTTGTTATGCGTACTATAAAATTTCAAAGATAAAAGCGCGTTCTGAATATGGACCGAAAAGTATAACATTTTAATATTTTCGAACTAAAATATATAATCTAATAATATAAATGTATAACTGACGCAATTTTTAATTCAATTATTTAATTTTTAGCCAATACTAAAATAATTAATATCTTGTAGGTAAGATTGATGCATTCGTGGAAGATAGTAAGGATATACGCAGAATTTGTGCAGCACAATTTGAAAATCAGTTACAAAACTCTTGGGAAAATCTTCAACAAATTCTGTCGGATTATCAAAATAGTAAAGAAACGTTTACTATTTTTAACACTACAGTGTTTTAATGCCTTTATACATCTGCAAAATAAATTTGTGATTAAAAAATACTACATAAAATTATTAAAATTGTAAACTAAAGTTATATATTTTATTAATACTATTTGTTAAAAAAAATTTCAATAAAAAATTTAGTTTCCTCTATTTAAAAAATTTATATCATTCTAATTACATGGATAATTTTTGTAACTTTTGAAATAAAATTTAAATTGCAAATATACAATTGAACATGTATCAAATGCAAATTAATTTTATGCTAAGGTGCTAAGGTCATCCAATAGACAAGCTAATATTGATCAATGACATCATTTTAGAAACGAAGTTTCGTAGAAAATGTTACGAGGCACTTAAAGACAAGGACGAGAAAGACCAGCAAGTAATAGCGCAACAATTATTACGTACAGCGAGTCTTTTCGAGGAAATACGAAAGTTTCGAAGTAAAATAACGATATATGATTCTACAGCCAAGAAAAAAACTTCCGAAATTCTGACGGAACACGACTTCTTCCAGAAAGCTTCTTGGACCGTAAAAAATCGTCTCCTCTCAGGTGTATATATTGTCATTTTGTTAGATTGGTTAATCTTCATTAGAATTTACAATTGCAATTTGTAAAATTTATATCTCGTAATTCTAACTGCATAAAAAAATTGTTACACAATAATATGTGTTATTTTATATTCTATTTACATTATTAATCAAAATATCGTGCATATGATAAACAATTTTTGACGATTCCATATTAAGAAGTAAAATAATTTCAGAACTGATGAAAGATAAGAATCAATTAAAGATATTGTCGATCAAATATAACAAGATAAAAAAACATTTAGAGCATCTTGTAATTAAAGGCAAACGACTACTTACGTTGATGCAAATCTGTCGTAAATATGAAACGCAAAACGAGAAAATAATTGCATTTGTTGATCATACGGAGTTGGAAAACTTACAGACTCTTTCACTGCATCAAAACTTTGCTTTATTAGACTGGAATATGTCCCGCCAGGTATATATGCACATGTAGTAGTTGAATTTAAAAAAAAACATGCCTATAATAGATTACAGATTTTCAAGATTTGGCAAATTTTTGGCGACGATTTGGTATTGTGCAAATAATAACTACGCAATTGCGATCAGAAAGGGATAAATTGAAGGCTGAGGCCAGTCATCTACGCGAATGTATCGGTTCTTACATGATGCAGAAAGAGTCACAAAAAAAGAATTAAAAAAGTACAAACTAATTTAATAACTCTCGGTTGTGATAAATAAATTGGGATAATCTATTTTAATTTTATATAGGTACACTGAGAGATTCACTACTGACATCATGTTGGATAATTAACAATTATGATAATTTTTATTATACTTTATACAACTGAAAAATAACATCATTACTGGTTTTAAATATAAATGCAAAACTGCAGCGGCGTTTTTTATTTTACTTGTTTTTGTATGCAATACGCAATGATGTTTTATTTGTATAAAATGTAACACTATAATAGTTTAATCAAACTAGTATCAAGTTTTAGCTTAAGTCTAGATATGTGGAATTACAATTCCAGTTTATCGATAGTACCGGTGATCATTAGCGCTGATATAAAACAAATTGTTTAATTATTAAACAATCTAGACTATAGCAAAGTAAAAATACAATAAACAAAGTAAACAATATATGTTTTATGATTTATGTACATTTGTGACAAATGAAAAAACTGCGCAATACAATGTTTTTTTCACGTTAAGTTGATTGCAATTACTTTAAACTCATCTATGGCAGTATTTATTATGCACTTTGAACTGCAACTGCGACTGAGTTTTCACACAATAGAATATAGTTCAACGTAGTGATTTGTGCCTGTGTGCTATTTGAGATAGCATCTTATTACCAGCAAGGAATGTAACAACACCAAAACCAAGAAGATATCGCAGTGTGACAAACATATTAAGTTTTAACCAAAAAATACCAAACAGCACGAAAATGCCTGAAAATAAAATAATCAATTATTCATTCTGCATTGTTGTAGCAACTTGTAAATGTAGTAGATATAATTAATTTCTGTAGTGAATTTTGGCTACAAATGTGACGAAGAATATAATCACATTTGAGAAAAACATCACAAAATATTATGCGCCCGATGAAAACAGATAAAATATGTAACATCATCTGTCAAGCAATATCGGGCAGAATGTATTTATTATATATATATATATATATA